GTCAGCGTCGTGGCCCCGGGGCGCCGGCAGCGTGTCTGCAGTGCGCAGCCGCAGTCCGGACCCCGGCCTTCGCGCGCTGCGGAGCGGAGTGGAGGGGCGCGCAACTTTAGGTTTTCCGAATCTTCCTAGAGTAAGCATGTTAACTACCGGTGGTATAAACATTCCTCCCGCACTTCATTAGCCGAGCGATGGAGTACATTTTCCGAGCCTTTCCCGGTTCCGGTGTCGGTATCCTTAATTTGATACAGCTGCGCTCCTCAGGCGAAGGGGTGCTGCCTCCTGTTGGTACGGTGCAGGAATCACCATCCCTCTCCGTGCTTGCCACCAGTCAGTAACACAGTTTTCCTGTTGTTCTCCTTTTACTGGGCATCTGAGTTGTTTATAATTTTGCAGCATAATAAACCACATTAGTGAACATCTCTATGAATTCCACACTTTTCTTCTTTTCAAATTATTACCTTAGGACAAATTCGCACCAGTGAGGTTACCTGGGCGACAGATAAGGACTGATAAAGGCTGCTGATACTTGGCATTCTATTGCCCCCCAAAAGGATTGTGCCAGTCTCCACTGTCACTTACAAACTGTGGAAAATTGCTTAAACAACTTTTTAGTTGGTTAACTAGATTTACAAACTCATTTCATTGTTTTTACTCCCATTTCTTTTATCACCCTCAGAAACATTTGTCCAGATTTATTTGCTAAACTAGAATGCCTGTTACTAAGGTCTAAGACCTAAGCTGGGTTCATCATCCTCTATGTGTGTTTTGCCCTGTGTTCTGGGAAATTTACCTTCCAACCTTCCTAATGAATTTTTCATTTTGGCAACCATAATATTATTTTCAAGAGCTCTTATTGGTTCTCTGGTGGTTTATTTTTTTAAAAATTGAGATGCAACTTACAGTATATGGCACAAGTCTTAAAAGTACTTCTTGGTGAGTTTTAATAAATGTATATACAACTGTAATCACCGCTCAGATGAAAACATGAGACTTTCCCATCGCTCTAAAAGTTTCCCCTCTATCAAGAGTTTTTAAGCAGGCCCTAAGTGCAGCATGGTAGCTAACAGGGCCACCAGGAACACTATGCAGCTGCTAGGTGTGCCTACTACACTTCCATGAGACCCAGCCAGCAAGGAGATGACAAGCCCCAATGGATCCAGACAGCTATTACACAGACAGCAAAAGCAAGACCAGCATGGTGTGGCAGCTTTCCCTAGTCACAGGCCAACACTGAACCAGAGGGACCAGATGACAGGCAGCATGGTGGTAGGTCTCTCTGTGGCTGAGGTGCCAACTCAACTACCATCAGACAATTTTATGGCCTGCAGCTACACTCTAAATGGGAGAAGGAGGAGGAGCAAGGTGGAAAGGCCTGCACTCAACTGAAACTCGGAAGAGGGAGGAGAAAGGGCCTTGTGGCATTTCCCTCAGAAGAGGGTGGCTTCTCACCAGGCTGCTGCTTCCCTTGTTCCAGCAGGGATCATAGTGTGTTCTGCCAAGACTTGGGTTGGACTGTGGTCAAGCCTTGCCCCCAGGCAAGGTGGTCAAGGCACTGTGTCAGAGCTGTTTCTGAAAACTCTACTTCCCACCACCCCAATCTTCCATGCATCCAGCTAAGAATTCTTTCCAGGAGCATGTCACCCCTTAGATAGTCTGATTCATTTTACTGATGGGAGCTTGGACCAAATCTTTTCTATCTGTCTTAGACAACATCCGATGAGCATGACCATAACTATGCCTCCCAGCAGGATGATCAGGCCCAGTTGCAGGACAGACCACAGCCAGTCTCCTTATCTGGAGCCAAACCACTCTGTCCCAGATGCCACTGGGGATCAACCTGAGAGCCACCCTGTTTATGACCTGAGAGATAGAGCACTCCACTTTTCCTGATTCATTAATCTAAGTGCAGCAAGACATGTTGGCAATTGCATATTTGCTGCCTTGACTGACCAGCATGAAGCCTGAGGCAGTACGATTGTCTATCACCACTTACACTACATAGTTTAGACTGGTTGGTGTTTGGCAGACAAGCACAAGCCTGATGTCTGTAAGTATATCCAGGGCAGTAGAAGAAGCATTGGGTTAGAATTTCCCACCCTCTGGCTCCTCTTTGCCACCATAGCTCCAATAGCCTGTTTCCTGGAGGTAGGCCTAAGAGGGTAAAAAGAAGAGTAAGAAGGACTAAATATGTTGTTTGAGTCTATTATAGCCGACTGGGGCCTCTTCTCTCCCTCCCGACCTCATAGTTAAACACTCTGTCCAAATGAGAAGCATCCTTCCCTGGAATGGCCACATTTAGAATCCACGCCATCTTGTTCGAGTGTGGGGTCCACTGAGAGCTGAGCTTTGGTTGTTCACTTATCTGTTTTAGATTCTTCTTTAAAAGTACATTCCATCTTTTGTTGGCACCTGCCACCTATTGGTGACACAGGGCACAAAATGTCCAGCAAATGCCCCCTGGGTATTCTTGGTTATAAAGGCAGTGCTGTTGCCCGACTGGATGTGTTTGAAGAACCCAAAGATGCAACATAGTCCATTTAGGAGTCCTTGAATGTTATGGCCCACATGCACTGTGAAGACAGGAATTGCTGTGCTGTACCCAGAAAAAGCCATCTACTGCATCGATGCAATGCCCAGTGGTACCCTCAAGGGGAAAGTAGAGGATACATAATAATTTGTTAGGACCAACCAGGTTCAGTGCCCCAGGCTTTGTGCTCCAGAGCTCCCTCTGCCACTCCACTGTGTAGCTAGTAATCCAGGCACGTTAATTAGCCTGGCCCTGGATTACAGATGAACTGCCATGTCCTGTGTGACAGTGTACCCAGGTGGCAGTGGTTCTGACAGCTTGTTGGTTTCACTGATGTTCATGGTCAAAGGGTCCTTTTCCACGGACATCCCTGTATTAGGATTCTACAGAGAAGAACGAATTGGAGATAAATAGACGTAGGTAGAACTACATAGGTAGATGCAGATTTATTTTAAGGAAGAGCCTCACACAGTAATGGGGGCTGGCAAGTCCAAAATCTAGAGGGTAGACCAGCCTGCTGGAGACCCAGAGAAGAGCCGATGCTGCAGTTCAAGTCCAAAGGCCGTCTGCTGCCGAATTCCCTCTTGCTCAGGCTTTCAGCTGATTGGATAAGGCCCACCCACATTATAGTGGGAACTCGATACTTTGCTTTACTCAAAGTCCACCAATTTAAATCTTAATCTTAACCAAAAACACCTCCACAGAAACAATCCAGAATCATATCTGACCACATATCTCAGCACCATGACTCAGCCAAGGTGATATATAAAGTAACCATCACGATCCCCATGGGTTGTGAACAGGGGACATGTGTCACATATAATCTGTTGCCATCATGCTTTTCCTACAGGAGTGGGGACTTGATTATGCAGTTGTCCTGCTGCTAGACTCTAGACTGCTAGCCCATTGGCTGCTGCCCACAAGTAGCCAAAATGTAACAAGGTGTGTTGGGAATTGACTTTGTGCCATGTTTTCCAGGGCAAGCACATAGCCAGCAGCGCTGCCCATTGTGTGTTGTTCCCTTTTCTGTGCAAAGTTGTAACCGGTGTTCTCTGTGGTTGCACAGCTGCAGAAGTTCAGGACACTCC